GGACACTTCCATATGTAATTCTGGAGCCTAGTCATGCTTTCCCCCCTTCATGAATAAACTTGTTTATTGAGCACTGCCAATTTTTAAATTGTTTAGGTGTAAACATAATGGGCAGCACTTGCAAGAAAAACCAAAATTTTGGCAGGAGAGCTTGGATACTGGTTTCAGAATCCTGATCACATTGCAGTGGTGCAAAACCAGTGTGGGACCACTAAAGTTTAGAACAAGTAAAACTGCTGAAGTTCTGGGTGATGTGGCATCATGCCTTTCTTAAACACCCTTCTGTTTCCTGAGACTGTGAGATTTACTAGCAATTGAAATAGGAGAAAGATTTAGCTGTAAACCCCCTTTCTCCTGATAAAAATGTCTGTGTGTAAAGAGGCAGAGCTTAAAATGTAAGGAGGAAAAAACAGAAAACACAGACACTGAATGGAGACACAGCAGTACAACATATGGGGAAGTTATAAAAGAAAAATCATAGAAGCAAATATGCAATTCATTTGAAATTCTTATTCTTGTCCTCTCCTGTTTCATATGATATATGTGCTTGGAATCAAGGGTTGTTCTCATTTCCTCAGAACTGAGGGTTGTTGATATTTGAAAATAATATGTTGCTCTGGGCATGGAGTCTTCTGCTGCGTTTCATAGGATACCTCATCCCGAAATCTATGTAGGCAAAGTTCCCATTCATTAAAGACACAGACTACATATTGCAAAAGTGGACTCAATGCCTACATGAAGAAGAAAGCACAAGTCTGTTTCATTTTTCTGGGAAAGGTTAAAATATTGTGCTCCCACAACTGAAGGGTGTAAATCATTTGCCTTAACTTATCTAACGGAAGAGTGCTGAAGTTGGCAGAGTGAAAGAAATTCATCTGCATTGAAGAATGCATGTCCAATGGTCTAAAAATGTATCCAACATTAACAGCACAGAGAGACAGTATATGCTGTTATCGAGTTGGCAACTCAAAGGGTTGGCTTGGAAACTGCATGTTTTGAATAGCAATCTTTCCTCTCCCCAAATATTTCTGGTTTCTGATATGCTGGTGTCAATGCTTCAATCTGTGCCATTTTCAACAATCATGAGGGACAGAAACATGCCTGGATTCAGTGATTCTTTGCATTCACATGGATGCAATTGGATATTCCCTTTCCCATTGAGCAGAAGCTCAGGGTGCATGAGTATGTGGTAAAATGACACTTAAATGTCTTTGAATAATTTCTTTCTGATATACTGTAAGAATAATAATTTTATTATTTATACCCTGCCCATCTGGCTGGGTTTCCCCAGCCACTCTGGGCATCGTACAGCACATAAACAATTGTAAAACATTAGACATTAAAAATTTCCCAATACAGGGTTGCATTCAGATGTCTTCTAAAAGTCAGATAGTTGTTTATTTCCTTGGCATCGGATGGGAGGGCGTTCTACAGGGTGGGCACCACTACCAAGAAGGCCCTCTGCCTGGTTGCCTATAACCTCACTTTTCACAGTGAGGGAACCACCAGAAGACCTCAGTGTCTGGGCTGAATGATGGGGGCGGAGACGCTACTTCAGGTATTGGTTAACAGCCCAGAAACTTTGATATAGGGTCAGATCCAGATTGAGTTAATCACACTTGAAATCACTATGAAAATAACCACGACTCACTTTATTCCTATTGATTTCCATAGGCTGTATCCACTCTGAATTAACATGGTTTGACATCAGGTTATGAATTAGCTTAAATCCCATTGATTTCAACAGGAAGCAAGTACAACTAACTTAGTCTGTACATCACCCAATGGGAACTAAATGTGATTAATGGTCTGGATCCAACTTACGTACTGTGCCTCTGGTAACCTGTTAAGGGAAAAACAGAAATGGAATAGGAGTTGGAGAGGAAGATGGTGGTGGCCATGATGGTGGTCACCACTGCTGTTACCTGCTGCTGGTACATGGTAGGAATATCTGTGACTCATTATACTTTTAGACCCAAGCTCTGTGGTGATTCATGAGGGAAACATGGAACATGGAAACTTTTAGGACTTCCCAGTTCCATACTGGCTATTTTATATCACACATTCAATGAACTGTTCACAGCATCTTTCACAGAGCTCTTAAACTGACATGGTTCCTTGGGTTTCAATGAAACTGCATAACTGTGGTATATGCCATACCACACAAGTGATGTCTACATTAAACTGACAGACTTCTCTTCTATCATGAGAATGCCGTTTATGGCATATACGATATCAATCCTCCTTGCTGACCAAGCCAAAATGCTGTCAGTAGTTTGAAATTCAACCAAAACTCAAACAAGTTATTATCTCTCCATCTTGATGAGTTCATTCACAAGTATGGGACAGGTGATAAAGTTACACAGCTGGAAGTGAGTTCAGGCTTGTTGTTTTATATGTGTGTAATAATTTAGGTTATGTCATTGTTCACAGGGAATACGATGATATTCTTTTCTATGGAACAATATTGTTTTGTGTAATGCCATAGGAATATTAGCCACAGCCAATCTATAAGTGTGCATAAGGAAAAATAAGAGTTTGCTCAAATATACATGAAAATTAATAGCTTTCCTGATCTGAACTCATGTTTCTCATGCTCTTTGGATTACAGAAGGGTTATCCTTCTGGTGTTTGCACCCCAGGGATTAACATCTGTGTAAATGTGGTAATATGAAAAAAGAGAGGCCCCAATGATGAATCCATGAATTGTTCTCCTTGACATGAGCAGATACTCTCTCTTGGACAAGTCTCTGTTGCAGGTGCACCAGTGACCACACACTAATTGAAAGGATTATTTTCATAAGGCTCTGTGTAGTCTGTGAGGCTTTCCTTGAAGAGAGCCTAATTGTTTTAAGCAGCTGCTAGAAGCAGTCTTTATTAATTTCTTTAAGCCAACTGGGCTGCATAAAAGACCGTTTCGGATTTAGCTTCCTCCCTCCTCCTTGCAGTACACAAAACACAAATGAGGGCATGCTATTTGTTATGTGAAAGATAATTTTGGATCAAGCAGAGAACATAGGCTTCCTTAAAAGAGAGGGAGAGAAATTCTTCCACCAGCATGTCTGATATTTTTTTTATCTTCAGCCCAAGAGCAAATCCTTAATGCACAGCATGTCTGTACAACACCTGTTGGGATTAAGTGACCAGACCAGCTCCGCTGTGTGAGCCTATGTCATTTGCACGGCCTGATCTATGGAATCCTGAGGTTACACGAGCTGTTCCCTTGCACTGTGCAGGTTCCGTTATAGCCTTTTCTTGGTTGGCTGCCAGGCTTGTCACCATGGGGCTGGCTTTAATATCTGGGAAAAAGGGTTTCCTGGTGGAATCAAATCTTTCTTTTACAAGGCAAACTACTGTTACTAAAAGCACTCTCTAAATCATGTGGAACCATCACATCATCTTATAAAATGGTGGCATGCTGTTGGCCTGTATTATCTGGATTATTTTGTCAAAGGTCCGTTTTTCTTTCCAAAGGTGAAATGTGGATTTTATTTTCTTTCTTTTTTAATTCCCAGAACCTTCTTGACCTTCCAGTGTCTTTTTTTGCTTAAAATGTGTGTTGTCTGTCAGTTCCCGTTGCTCATCAGGATCAGAATCCTTGCTAATTTATTCCCTCATCATTAACTTTGAGGATGAACTTAAAAAATTAACTGTTCACCCAGACATTTGATGGATGAAAGATATTGATTCTGGCTACCTTGAGATTATTAACTGTGAGGGTGTGTGATGGTTTTATGTGTTTTAGATACTTTTAGTGCTATTAATTCCTTTTAGAGGTTTTTAATTGTTTTAAACCTGTCTTTGCTGTATTTTATTTTTACAGTGGTACCTCAGGTTAAGTACTTAATTCGTTTTGGAGGTCTGTACTTAACCTGAAACTGTTCTTAACCTGAAGCACCACTTTAGCTAATGGGGCCTCCTGCTGCTGCTGCACCACCGGAGCACGATTTCTGTACTCATCCTGAAGTAATATTTCTGGGTTAGCGGAGTCTGTAACCTGAAGCGTATGTAACCCAAGGTACCACTGTACTGTTGTTGTTGTTGTTTAGTCGTTTAGTCGTGTCCGACTCTTCATGACCCCATGGACCAGAGCACGCCAGGCACTTCTGTCTTCCACTGTCTTCCGCAGTTTGGTCAGACTCATGTTTGTAGCTTCGAGAACACTGTCCAACCATCTCATCCTCTGTCGTCCCCTTCTCCTTGTGCCCTCAATCTTTCCCAACATCAGGGTCTTTTCCAGGGAGTCTTCTCTTCTCATGAGGAGGCCAAAGTATTGGAGCCTCAGCTTCACGATCTGTCCTTCCAGTGAGCACTCAGGGCTAATTTCCTTAAGAATGGATACGTTTTATCCTCTTGCAGTCCATGGGACTCTCAAGAGTCTCCTCCAGCACCATAATTCAAAAGCATCAATTCTTCGGCGATCAGCCTTCTTTATGGTCCAGCTCTCACTTCCATACATCACTACTGGGAAAACCATGGCTTTAACTATACGGACCTTTGTTGGCAAGGTACTAGCATTGTTCTATCACTTTGGCACTTGCCGCCCTGAGCTTCTTGGAAGGAAAGGCATAATAGAAATGCAACAAACCAAGGGTTAATAGAAATGCAACAAACCATCTACCATAGGAAGCTGCCTTATCCTGAGTCAGACCATTGGCCAACCTAGCTCACCATTGTGTACACTAGCTGGGAGTAGCTCTTCAGGGATTCAGACAAGGGGACATTCCCAGTCCTATCTGGAGATACTGCACCATCCTCAGTCTACCCCCCCCCCAGCCTGCCAGCCAGCCCTCACCTGCCTGTTTGCTTACTTGCAACCATCCCACGGGGTCCTGCTGCTTGTCAACTTCCTCCATCTCAGTGTTGCCCTTGTAGAATGCAGCAGGGAGGATGCTAGGACATAACTAGAACTAGTTGGCTCCACTTGTCATACTGGCTCCACCCACTGTTGGTGTCCCTGCATTCCACCCTACCAGTCTCAACCAGGACATCTGCCAGCACTGGTTGCCAGGGATTGAACCAGGGACGCTCTGCATGCAAACCAAATGTTCTACCACTAAGCCACAACTCAAATCCCCTGGAATGCCCATTCATCTGCATCATCATTGCTGATGTCAATAATATGTTTGCTCATCTTATGGAATCTTCTTCCTACCACCATCATGCAACAAGCTGGAGAAAGGTCAGCCTCCATTCCCTTTGCTTTTCAGAGCATCGTTGAGGAAGGGATGAGGGGCTGCTTTAAACCTAGGCCATGCCGGGCATGCATCTCAGTATGCCTGGACCTCTTCGGCCTTCATGTTCTTTTGTTCTGGTGCCCAGCCGATATCTGACTGAGTGTGTATTTCCTTGGGCCACAAACAGCAATCTTTCATTAGCAGCCTTTGTTTCTTCCCCCAGCCTCTGCTGTGAAGTTCAAGAGTCTCTGCAATGAATTGCTGTCAGAGGAGCCCAGGTTGTCGTTTGTCACAACAGAGCCAAAGGTTTTGTTTGGCACAAAACACAAACCGATTGCAGCTTAGCCTGGTGTGGCTACATGTGGCCAAGACTGTATCGCTCCTTGGCCCAGCTGAAGATTGTCCTCCTTTTTTTCTCTCAGCATGTTTCTAAGCCTTGATCCATTTGCTTTGTGCTTGCTTTGTCTATGTAAGTTTATGTAATACTGCGGTTACACATACAAATCCTGTAACACAGAGAACAAAAGCCCCAAGTAAAAGCAGCTTGTCTCTGTATTTTGCTGTTTCTTTGTAGTTAGCGAAGGGATGTGTTTTTCTGTTCTTCCTCAGGTAGAGACACAGCTCTCTGTATGCAAAAGGTCAAGACTCCCAAGTAAGGCAAAACTGCATATGAGAAGAAATTCATACTAAAATTCTGGTGAAATTTCAGGAGGTATTTAAAAATTGCAAACTGATCTGGACATGTGGAAAACTAATTTTTAGACCCCCCCCCAAAAAAAGAGGAAGTGAAAGATTCAGCCATCCCTTCTGTTGTTGAGCAACTTTAAGTCCCTTAATCTCCCTTCATATGGTCCTTTATCTTTAACATGACTTAGAAGAGACAAGTCCTTCAAACTGAGGACTTTGCTGCTCTGTAAAGTAGGACTTATGATGACCACTCTCTTCACTTGCTATTTTATATATTATGTAAGACACTTCTCTTGAGTTGATTTATAGCTTTGGAAGGGGAAATTAAGCTTTTCAGTTGTTTTGATGTTCCAGCCCTACCCTATTCTGAGCTATTAAAGACAATCTTTGTAATTTAGACTGCATTCCTATGGCTGTAATTAGTTTATATTATTCTATGTACATGGACACATAAAGCTATTTTAACATTTTTCTAAATAAAACAAAGACATAGCTCGAAGAAGTAAATCTTGTTGGGCTCATTAGTTAGATTTACTTCTGAATAGCGATGCTCGACATAGGGTTGTACTGTTAATACTGCATTTTGTTTTCAACATGTAAATTAGTTGGTTTTAATTTTCCAAGATAAACTGTAATACCTATTTCCTTTTAAGCTTTCCTCCCCACTGTATTCTTTTACCAGGGAATGGTACCATCCAACCAACCTGAGCAGCTTTGGCCTACACACTAAAAAGTTCAATTAGAGCTGAAAGTGGGGGTGTGGGGTGGGGTTAGATAATAATGTGTTTTATTAATTTCAGCTGTTCCATCTTAAGGTAGAGAAATCACTTTTCACAGATCTGTAACTGACCCCAATTTCTAATCTCCTAGATGATTAACTTTTAAATCTTTGTTATGGAATATGTTGGCAACATACCAGAATGTAATAATTTTCATAGATTTGACCTGGGTTTATGCTTAGTTTCCTTTCTTTTTTTCAGAAACACAAAGGGGGAAAGCCCATTTAGGCCACTTTGTTAATTACTTGATAACATTTCTGTTAGCAGAATTTTCTCAACAGGTTTCAGTTGAAACATCCTGAAATATAATGTTACCTTCTGGGATAAAAGATAATAAGGAAACTTTGCTTCAGATTACAAAACATGGTGCTATGGTAATTCAGATGGTATTGATACAGAATTATAATATAGCTGTATCTGAGTTTTTAAAAAGAGGTAACATTAATCTGGATGGGTTGGCCACTTGTGGGGGGGGGCAGGAATGCGAAATGTGAAAATGCTAATTTTGGCTCAATGGGATCCAAAAATATTTTTTAAAAGCATGAACAAAAAGGCATACCAGTAAACAAACAAACAAACAAAAATCAAAGGAACATTTGCCTCATTCTCTGTTTTATTTGTACTGCTGGGTGCGCACCATCCTACCTGTGAAGTTGGAAGAAGTCCAATTGGGCAGGGAGAATCACTGGGAGGAAAGTCTAGACCCTTGAATGAAAAATTTGAGTAGACTTGGGAGACATTACAGAATGCTACAGACACAATTTGACCATAAACAGTGTTCAAGCCTCTTCAGTCCCCGGAGCTACAGCAACACAAGTAATGAAACATCTCTAGACAAAACCTGCCAAGTCCTGGTGTGCACCCTTACTTCAGGGCCTGAGGAAGAGAGGGGTGGTTCTCATCAGTGGGCTTCCCCTATAACTCCAGTTAACTTAATAAACAAAGTCTGGCTCACCACTGAGCTTCCTCCTCAGACCCATTTCCCAATACTCCTAGCTCCAATTGCCTTTTATCCCTCCTGTCCTCTCTCTCTGCTACTTGCAGAGGCTGATTTAGGGGAGCACAACCAGTTTGATCGCACTGGGTGTGGAGCCATTATGCAGAATGGAAGGTGAGAGGCTGGGGGCACTGAATTTTGGCATCGCTGAGATTTGAGAACCCAAGTTCTGCCACGGGCAACTTGGCTGCTGCTGTAGCCTTCCAGGATTTCCATACTCCTTCTCCCTTCTCCCTTGCCTTGCCTTGTTCAACTCTCTCCTTGCCCTTCCTCAGTGTAATGCTCCAAACACAATTGCACTTTCGCTCCTGGTAGCCATCTTGTCTCCCCTGCCTCACCATCACCACAACATTCCACTTCTGGCTCACCCATGTTTACCTGTTTGGGGAGGGGTAGGAAGAAGAGTGCTGCAGTGATTGACTACAGCTGCCTCCACCTGTATTTTCTCCTCAAAGTTTTATTGGTTTCAGGGTCATATTTTTCAGGTCTCCCTCTCCCTGCCTCCTTCACACAAAACAAGGAAGGTTAAGAAGAATTAGCTGAACTTATGATGAATGAAGTACTGTAATTAAGGACCACTTCAGCAGTCTTCAGGGTCATCCTAGGTGCAACTTGGAACTTGCTTAGCACACAGTAGACTGGAGTCAAATTATTTAAGTAGCCTTTCCCTCTCATACTCTTTCTGAAGATTGACTCACCGAAGGCACTGTGTCTTCAGCATCAAGCCCGCTCCCCTTGCCCTGCTTTGTTTAACAGCCAGCTGAAGAGTTCTATAGAACGCAAAGGCTTGTGTCATTTTAGTTGGTCTTAAAGGTGTTACCTGTCCACAGATGTTAGATTCTTAAAATCTTGGGCATACCAGGTTCAAAATCATGGCCTTTCAGTCACATACATCTGCCACTATGCACAGGATTCAGTTCCTTGAAAAACCAACACAAATATCACTTTTTATGCAGAGTAGCACTTAACAACACGAGAGGCTTAAAGTGTGTAGGTTTTGGTGTCTGAAAAGATGAAGCCTTTTTGCTTGAGGAAAAATGCTTTCTAAATACACTTTAGGTCTCCCCCCCCCCATTTCTGTCCCCAAAGACCATTATTATTATGAATATCTTCATGCTTAGGTTCCTCTTTTTTAAATTCTGCTGAAACCCAAGAAGCCCACAGACCGAAATGGGCAGGGGGTGGAAGCCAATATGATGCTGTTCTTATTCAGAAATACAGTTCATTTTTGTGTTGCTTTTCAGTCAAGAGGTCCCCAAAGTGGTGCAATACAGGACAAAACACAAGTAGAGGCTACTTCCTATGTATTCAAGCCAGCCCATTTAATCCACCATTAACAATAACAGTCGTTAACTTGCATTCAAAAGCTTCTGCCAATTTCCTGACAGGAATCCAGTGATACATCTACAATGAATAGATGCACTATGTGTGGTCTAAATGCACTGAGATTTCTTTTTGTCAAAAAGTAATTTTTCTTTGTTTAACTGAGTCAGGAGTACTGTATAAATCTGGATGTTTTAATCGTGAATGAGCTTTTTATTTAGTGTAAGGCCTATTTCACTGTAAATCAATATCTTTCTTGCGTTGCCTCCCATGCTCACTGTTTTGTTTTTGGACTCGGTACAGTACAGAGAACCTAACATTATTGGACACAATGGTCAAACATGCGGTACTATGTGCTTTTACTGCTGGAAGGCACGGATGAAATATTCACATTCGGCAAATGAAATCACAAGAAGATTAATATTCCCTTCCACTTTATTTAATAAAATGAAGAGAGTTTTTTTAATTTTGAGTTTATAAATCTAAATGCATTAATATTGCTTATCTCCAGATACCCATTCTGGTGTGTTGATGTTAATAGACAAGACCAGTTCTTCAAATGTGGAAACTCAGTGGGTAATATTTATAGGAAACTTCCAACAACCGTGGTATTTTGCTCATGTGGAATATCATGGCATTTTGCCTGGATCAAGTAACCAGCAGATTAACACATTAACACTTTTTAAAAACATACATGTAATCCACTCTGAATGCAGTCTTTGACTTCTGGTAGGAACACCTATTTCTCCCCCCCCCCACGACACACACTCTGAGACATGGCTTCGTTCAAATAAACAGGCAGTTGTAAAGTGTTTTGGCAAGTAAGACACGAGAGCTGGTGTTGCTTTCCTCCCTTCTTGCAGGGGAGGTGGCCTTGAAGAAATGGGGAGGCTTTTGATTCTGTGAATACAAGATTTCCCTGTAATCCACTCTTTACTTATCGCCCGCACTCCCCTTTTCTCTTACCATTGTAAGAGCACTGACAATGGAGGAGTGATGGTGACTCAACTTATCACTGCTATATTGAGGAGACCTCTGGTGGTGCACTTCTTACTGTGTCTATGGACTAATGTTACCAGACGCCCCCATTTCCCAGGGACAGTCCCCA